AGATTCCATTGTCTAGAGACGGGCCGGGAACTGTTCCTTCTCCGACTTGAAGAAGCCAGTTTGCAAACCCGGTTTGTTCCTCGATGTCGGGAGCGTTGGCATTTCTGAGAAGGCGCATGTTGACGGAAAGATGGAGGTGTTGGATGTGTTGCCAGAGTGGAGATCGTTTAAAGCAGGCTCCAATGGTTTCCTCTCTGCGTCCTTGCTTGACAACTGGAGGAATCTGCCTAAAGTCGCCGCCAAAGACCATGAGCTTTCCTCCAAAGGGACGGTGTTCGTTCTCAGGGTCCACAGTTTTCATTAGGTCTTTGAGAGTGCGGTCTACAGCCTCGAAGATATGCCGATGTGTCATAGGAGCTTCGTCCCAGACAACGATCTTGGCCTGGATGAGAAGATCTGCAACTTCTGACCTGTGATTGACTGAACAAACACTGTCCTCGTGGGTAGGGACGGGAATCTTAAAGCGCGAGTGAGCGGTTCTTCCGCCTTGTAGAAGTAATGCGGCAATTCCAGATCCGGCGACGGCAAGAGCGATATCGTGATTTGACCGGACCATAGATAGGATAAGGGAGTAAAGGAAGGTCTTCCCTGTGACTGCGGGACCATCGATGAAGTACGTCTCGGAAGTGTTCATCTCATAGGAGCGCTTGATTCGGTCGTATGCTTCCCTCTGATTCCCATTGAGTGACTGCTCCATCACGGTGAACTCTTCTGGGCTGGGCAAAGGGTAACTCAACTCGTCTGCAATAAATGCATTTACGTTTGGACCATGCTGCTCCAGTATGACGGGCTCGGGCATGCCTTCATAGTCGTGGAGAGTCTTGCCGAGGTTTCTCAGGAGGACTTGTAAGTGGATCAGCGCAGCATTTGCACGCTGGTCTGCAAAGGATATCCGCTGCTCAGGACTGGTAGCGTCACGTTCCCTTGGACGGAGATCATCAGACAGTGCATCGCGAAAGGTGGTCCAAAGCTGAGCAGGATTTGTCGGGTTGCAAAAGGCAAGGATCTTTGCAAAAAGAGAGCGGAGTTGGTATCCCGTTTGACTGACAGCGGCATCCCGAAGACAGTTCTCCCATTCGCGATCGTCTTGAAGCATGCCAAGGGCGATCCAAGCGGCCTTGAACGTAGGGTGGACCTCGTTTTCGACTGTTCTCAGGTCCTCAAACGATATAGGACTTGGCACCGAGAGCAGTAACAACCGCAAATAAAACAGATCGCCTGCGGTATCATGCACAAAAAACAGTCGGCCGACTGTACATCCTCTCTCCCTGAGCTTCCATCGCTTCTCGCTCTTGAGGTAAACGTGGGTTTGAGGAAAGTTGTGGTACTTTGAAGGCGGCTCATCAGGATGGTGACGGTTATAGTCGAAGAATGCAGTCAGCGTACTGCGCTCCAGTGCGGCTCTCTCTAGGACATCAGCGATGGGTTCGTCCGAGCGGAAGGCATGCATGAACTGACCGGGGAGATGCAAATGCAACCTGGTGACGGATGGATAGGCACTGTGCAGGCGAAATCCAAATATGCGCCAAGCAGACTCGGAAGCAGAGACGTAGCGACCGTCGATGAAATCAATGATCTCATTGGCTTCTTGCACAGGAAGATCACCGGCGACCTGAGTTCCGTCTTGTGCCGGCTGTTGGACCACAACAGTGGCTCGATCATGGCCCTTGTAGACGTACTTGTACAGATACTTGACGGCAGTGGAAGAGGTGCAGCTTTCGACATTAATGTGGGCGCCGTACTTTGCGGCCAGATAGGGGTTATGCGGAACGACCCAACGGTTGTCAATCTCGAAATCTCCCCGGCCATCGATCCTGATCGTCCTTCCATCCATGCGGCGCCGGTACTGCGGATATCCATTTGGTCCGTTTGTAGTGTTCGCGAGGAAGGGCTTGGGATAGCCTTTGGTACACACGCCGTTCTCCATGCATGGGGAGTTCCTATTTGCCGGTCCACATGGGCCATGGATCATTGTTCTCTTGACGGTCTCGTAGGCAGCTGGGTGCGTTTCAGGATCGGGAATCTCAGCAGATATGTATTTGTCGTAGTCTGCAGGCAATCCAGGCTTGTGCTCAGGGCTCATGATGAGCAGAATGTGTGCGTGGGGTAGTCCACGCTTCTGGAACTCAATAACATGAATCATGCCGACAACCTTTCCAAGGACTTGCTTTTTCAACAGATCATGTGGGAGTTCCTTCAGCTTGATGTGAAAGACGCGTGTCGTCAGGTCCGGGCGGTCAGCCGCTGTCTGGTTTGGGAAAAGTTCTGACGTGATTTCGGGCCACTTGGGGTTACAGGTAAAAGTGACGAAATAATCCGGTGTCGATTCGAAGGCACGGACAATGGCCATTGCATCTTGGTACAGCTGCTGCATGTATCGGGGTCCGCTGACATAACTTGAAGGGAGGACGACCCGTCTTTCAACGGCAGCGGCGTCGACATCCCCAGCATTGACCGCATCCTGTAAGCCTGTGGAGATATCATGTCCAAAAAAATAAATAATAATAATAATAATTAGAATTCTGAGAATGATCAATGCACCCTCAACATCTCAAAAATGGTTCCCTTGATTACCTGAGTAGAGCTCAATACGAAGGGTCTGCTGATTATGCTTCAGAAAGTTGAGGCGATTCATGTCCATGGTGCAAAACATGTCAACCATCAATTGCTGAAAGAGGCGTCTTGAACGGAACATGTACTCGCTGCTATCGCCAATGCGGTATTGGAGGCGATAGGCGAAGAAATCCATCATGGTGATCCTGTGAGTATAGTTTCCCGGAGCATGCTCCTCATCGCCTTCACCCTCGTCGTCTTCACCTTCACCCTCATTGTTGAGACCCATTGCAGCTTGAGGATCAGCGTCGCCTAGGTGATTGTCGAGGATTTCATCATTATCGCCCTGGTCGATCTGCTCCTCGAGGTCGTTCTCGACGTCATCGTCGTCGTTGTCGCCAAGGTCCATATTGTCGTTGTTGTTGTCGTTGTCGTTGTTGTTGCCGTTGTTGTCAATGTCCATCTCATTAGCATTGGCTTGATCCAATAGTGGCTGTAGATTATGAGGTGGAACTGGATGTCGATAAGCAAGTTGTGGATCTAGGACATGCTGCAAGACATCTTCCGGAGGTTGAGGGTTGTTTCGAGTGAGTCCTAGGTGATATCCATCCTCCCCACGTAGAAACAACAGCGGGTAACAGAGAGGAAAGTATAACTGGTGCAGTGCTGAGACCTGATGAAGGCGGTTGTTGTGAAGCTGGATGATTATATCCCGATTCCCAGGTGCATCTGTTGCATCGCCAGGAAGAATGGCGGCGAATTCATCGGCGGTGGGTCGATTGTAGCGTCTCGCGTCACCCGCCCTCTGACAAACGATCTTTAAGCCCAGAACCGGTGCATCGTCCGCTCGAATACGCTGTCCGATGGTCTTGAACCTCTTGGCGTACGGATTGTGCCTGTACATGAGGCGATGAAGGATGCGGATAATCCTTCTGTCCTTGTCTCGGTCTCGTGCTTGCACACCATCCCCGCCGTTTGGAAGAGCCTGGTTCCTTGACCCATAGATGAAATCCAAGCGTCGATCGACTTCAGCGTCCTGGTCCGAGTCGTGAAAATAAATCTGGGCAAACTGAGGTTGTTGGGCGTTTGGTGGGAGAATACCGCCGATCTTGTGGTAAAGCTGGCCCTTGACTTGAAAGGTATTTGGGCCTCTGCCAGGCGGTCGCCGCATGTCACGGTACTTTGTACTGGTGCCAAAGGATGCAAAAGCAAAGGCATTGTTGAAGGTCCGTGTGTTTGCCAGAAATCGCTTGGAGAGAGGGGTATCGCCTCTAAACAGTTCTTGTAATTCGGCAGGGGGAGCTTCAATAGTCGGCATTTTGACTCTTCCTTGGAGGCAACACATAGAGAAACGCGGAGTTACGACCGCACATCCGACGCGTTCCTGGATATATTCAGAAGATAGAAAAAAAAGTTAGGAATCTAAAAAAAATGCAGAAGATGTTTTAAAAAAAATGACTGATATTATATTGTTACCTCTCTCCAATGTAAGGCGCCACAGTGAGAGCAAACGACGTTCATCCGATCCAGGGCCTTGTATTCTGTATCATCTTGTTCCTTGCAAGCAGCCATTCCATTTCCGAACACACGTACAGCAGGAGCATCAGGAATAGCAGGAGCGGCGGCAGGAGCGGCAGGAATAACAGGAATAGCAGGAATAGCAGCAGCGGCAGAGACTATAGGAGCAGCAGGAGTGGCAGGAACAGTATGGGCAGCAGGAGCAATAGGAGCAGCAATGAGCAGGTATCGTCGATTCATAGGACAATCCTTGTGACTTTTGCGACTATGGCCAAGCCGTCCGCAAGATTGACACTTTAGAGCAGAATGAGGAGTAGCAGCGATAGGAGTAATTGAGGCAGCCGGAGAAATGGAAATAGCATGCCTGCGAGAGCCTTCCGCAGCTTCTTGATTGATTCGATCTTCTTGTCGTCGGCGTTCCATATCTCTTTGGGCGTCTTGGGCTATATCACTTGGGATAGTTATGGAGTTTGATGGTCTGTCCCTCCCCATAAACAAAAGAAAACGATAGAAAAGGTCACATTTCTTTAGCAACAGGAGCGGTTACACTTTATAACCTTTTCATTCTCATTTGCTCATACCTTTTTTTGTAGAGGCGGCATTTCGTTGAGGTATTTCGAGAATGTCCTGGTTGCTTGCAGCTTGCGCATAAACGCATAACATTGGTGGCCGATAACATTTTGGAAATGTGAGGTGTTTAAGTGTCTGTTGATAGGGAATGAAAGGAAAAATGATGTTGGAGCGCGCGTAGATTGAGACAGCTTATTATATGTTTATTACAACAGGCTCTAAAAGAGATACCATCCTCTTTCTCTTCTCTTTCGCCTTTATGTTTATCCATCCCATCGTTTTTTTCTCCATTTCTCCTTTATTTTCTAGGCTGGACATGCTCTCTGGTTGATGGTTGATGGTTGATTAGATGGGCCGGTTCAAGAAACTATAAAGACCAATAATGAATAGGTTCGTGTAGCCTTGAAGGCCTTTAGCCGCCTGCTCTATGCTCTATTTCCTTTATGAGTTGTTCAAATGAATAAAATAACTGAAAAAAAATAGCCCGGAGCTTCATCATTTTTTTAATGTTTTATTTTTATTAATATTTATGGGAATTAGTTCTGTAATACAGCTGAAAGTAATAGTTGTGATGAACAGGTGGGACATACAATGGCCATGCATCCAGAAGCAGTATCCATGGTGGAGGGCATTGGAGAGGTCCACTCGGGCAACAAAGTGCTTGAAGTGCTTGCATGACTGGAAGAGGAGCTTTGTGTTGATATGACTTGTGTTAATGGCCTCTGCAGATCATCCTCGCTTTCATCGTCGAGTTGGATTGACTCCGAACTGGAAACGCTTTTCCAACCTGGGCGCCGCCTTATGAGCGGCTCATCCTCGCTATTGCTATCCTCATAATCATCCACCACAATGGTAGACTGACTTGTTGTGTTTGGATCCTGATCCTGAACGACCTCAGCGAATGCAGCGAGGTCATCGTCGTTGTCGTCTATGATCGATTCGTCCTCGCTATCATTAACATCCACCACAATGGTAGACTGACTTGTCGTGTTTGGATCCTGATCCTGATCGACCTCAGCAAGTGCAGCGAGGATGTCGTCGTCTGAGATGGTGTCAAAGATGGCTTCATAGTAGTTGACGCTGTAGGAATAATGCTTTTGAGTATTGTTGATCCTTGCACTTGTCGTTTGCTTCCCTTTATAGTATGGGCAGCGTCGACTCGTCGATCTTTGGTGGTCGGTTCCACGACACTTGGAACACCTGCTGATGGAGGAAGACGGGGAGGAAGAAGAGGGAGAGGAGGAAGAGTAAGGAGTAATGGCCTTGGGTTTGGGTTTAGTGTTATTGATGGTGCGGCGCTTGATGGAGCGCTTGGTGTGTTTGGTAGGAAGAGAGTAGGGAGCGAAGGAAACAGAGGGAGCGGTAGCAGTAGAGCTGGTGGCAGTGTGCCGGGCGGAAAGGGGAGAGAACGTGACCGACTTGGTCATCTGCGACCTTGTTGAATTCATTGCCTTGGTTCGTTTATATCCTGTAAAGGTCGCAGGGGGAGAGACATTGGAGGTGGATGTTGAAGTAAGAGCGACACGGCGAGAGCGAGTGGAAGGCATGCTGGCTACTGACAGATTAAAAAAAAAAAAAAAAAAAAAAAAGAGAGAGGTAAGGAAAGGAAAGGAAAGGAAAGGAAATATTCTTGTCCGAAAAAAAGAGAAAGAAAAAGCCATCGGCTCTACTCTCTACATTCTCCATTTCCGCATTTTTAACATGCTTACCGGCAGATCAGTTTACCGGTATGGCTCTCATTCCGCATTTTAACATGCTTACCGGAAGATCTGCTTACCGGTAGATCTGCTTACCGGTATGGCTCTCATCGCATCCCACATCCATCTATCATTTTCTCATTTTTAATTAACTTTCATTTTAATTAACTTTAAGCTAAAAAAAAAAACGCACACAACACACACAAACACTTACACACACACTACATATACACCATACACACCATACACACACCACAACACCATGAGAAAGAGAAAGAGGGAACATCACATGATTTACGATAAGTCAGGTGATGGAGATAACGATTTTGTATTAGTAGAGATACGTAGGAGCGTGTCGGACGTACAGTCGCTAATCCACGCTTCTCTGTGTGCTGCCTAAGAGTCAAAATGCCAGCCATCGAAGCTTCCCTTGCTGGATTGCAAAGCCATTTCAGAGGTATTTCTTGCAACCACCCGGACCTTCAACAGTGTCTTTGCCTTTACATTACATCCTTTGGTACCAGTACAAAGTACCGTGACATTCGACATGCGTTGACCGCCTGGCAGAGGGAAAGCGAAAAGAAAAAAAGGTATTGTGAGTGCGATAGAGGACTTTGGGAGGATGGAGATATGGCACGTACGTTACAAGGGCGACGGTCGAATAGGGAATGACCCAAGGAATAACACCTCGAGAGAGGAAGGCAGGTTTGAGCAAAGGAGGAAAACCGACAGGATTTAGCCCGCCAAGGCAACGAGTCGATTTGTCAAACAAAGTCTGAATGAGGCGGACGAGAGGGTTGTACAGTACGTTCATGGCAAGACGGTGTTGTATTTGATAGAAAGAAAGGAGACTGCTGCATAAAATCTTTGACCGAGATCTCGACTGACAGAGGGCTCATCAGACACGACAGGTCGCATTGGGGATGCGGAGGGCTGGCTCGGTGCTCGCCACTTCATGGCATTCATGCGACCCAAGTTGTGTATCTATAGGCATTCGAGCTCCCAGGGATCCCGTCTGACACCTCCTCCCCGTGGCTGTGGCTTGGATTAGTCAGGCCTGGCACGCTGGCACGATTTGTGGAATCTGACAAAGAAAAAAAAAGGAAGGGAGGGCAAAACGAAAAAAAAAAGTGAAGACAGAAATAGAAAAGTGAGAGAGAAATGAGGAACTAACAAACACAAATAAACTTTGCAATATTCAACCACCACCACTTTTTTATCAATTCACACTTGCTCCACACCTCCGCGAGCGAAGCCGCGGGTACTATTCTAGTCTACTAATACAAAGCGACTGCACCGATCACCTGATATACGTAAATCATGTGATGTTCTTTCTTTCTCTTTCTCAATGTATGTGTGTGTGGTGTGTATGTGTATGTGTGTGTGTGTGCGTGTGTGGTGTGTGTTTGGTGTATGTGTGCAAATGTGCGTTTTTTTTAGTTTAAAGTTAATTAAATTAAAAATGAGAGATGGATGAGGGTTGCAATCAGAGCCATACCGGTAAGCAGATCTGCCGGTAAGCATGTTAAAATGCGACTGCGGAATGAGAGCCATGCCGGTAAGAAGATCTGCCGGTAAGCATTAAGCATGTTAAAATACGAAAATGGAGAATGGAGAGAGCCTTTCTCTTTCACGGGCAAGCATATTTTCTTTCCTTTCCTTTCCTTTCCTTTCCTTTCCTTCCTCTTTTTTTTTTTTTTTTTTTTTTTTATCTGTCAGTAGCCAGTATGCCTTCCACTCGCTCTCACCGTGTCACTCTTACCACCACTTCCGCGCCCGATGTCGTTCCTTTTACGGCCTTTACAGGATACAGACGTACCAAGGCGACCAACTCAACAAGGTCGATCTACTGCTACCGCGCCCTCTACTTCCTCCACTCTGCACTTCCTTTCCACCAAATGTACCACCACGATCACTGCCAAACTCAATCCCATCACCCCTTACTCTTCCTCCTCATTTCTCCTCTTTTTCTTCTTCCTCCTCTTCTTTCCCCCCCTCTTTTCTCTCTTTTCCCTCCTCTTCCTCCTCCATCAGTAGGTGTGCCAAGTATTGTGGACGTGGAAACGGTCACCAAAGGTCGACAAGTTGTCACTGACCCTACTATAAATGAAAACAAACGGTAATTTTAGGGCAAACAGACCACAATTGCTCGGATTGCCGCCTCTTTGCAGCACAACTCCTAATTTATAATGACGACAACTGCGAAACAAGCTTTGATGCTATTTCAGACGAGGATGCTTACGCCGCAATTGCTGACGTGGTTCAATAGTTTGAGACTACAAGTTAGACAACGGTTCAGTGGGAGGGTGAAGGGGGTGAAGATGGGCCATCGATCAGGCGGCGGAGGCATTGGTACCGGGAGAATGCTTCCAGCCTAAGGCCTACCATTCCGGCCCATTTAGGTAACATAAGCGACAACGACGACCTGCTGATGGATTTTTTTGTTTAAATTGAACCTTCCCATAGGAAGGCTCAGTAAGGAGAGAACAGCCCCAGTGGTGCAACAAGCCACCAGGGTTTTTTTTATTTCTAAAGGCGGTACTTGAGAAAGAAATGTGTAGGGGGCAGCGGCAAGACTCTGAATTTGAGGGAAGACTTTGTGCTGTAGAAGAGGGGGGAGCCCTCAACTCTTTGAGTGTAAGATGAGGAGATCATGCGCCAAGTCAAACGCTCTCCTAGGACTCAAACCCAGGACCTCAAAATTGCGAGGAGGACGCTTTACTACTACGCCAAACGGGATCCCAAGCCCTCGCCTACTGAAGGAGAACAGCCGGCTGACACAGGTTGTCCCAGTCACGCATGATTGTAGCAGCCACGCATGGTTCCAGCCCGGCGCCAACCATTCCGACCCATTTAGGTAACATGAGCAAGCTATTGCCATCGCATTGCATGATGCACCTCAGTCCTCTGCTATGAACTGTAATGCTTGCAGACAACTCCATCATCATTGTACAACTCATCCGGATTGCCTTATGAGCAGGCAGCGCATGATCGTTGCAGAATCTCTTGCTCCTACTCCTTCTACGGTCCTTGCTGCTCCCGCTGCTCCTGTTGCCCCTGCTGCTCCTGTTGCTCCTGCTGATCTAAGTGTTTTTGGAAATAGAATAGCTGTTAAGAATCAGGACAACACAGTGTACATGATCATGGGATCGATGAGCGTGGTATGCTCTCATTGTGTGCTTTACATTGGATAGAGGTAACCGTCTACGATATTACCTACAGCTAATTTATATCCGTCCCTCTTTTTATTGATACCGATTTAATCATTTCTTTTGAAACGCAGGAGTGTGTTGGACGTACAATCGCCAATCTACGCTTTCTGCTGTCTAAGAGTCAAAACGCCGGTCATTGAAGCTTCCCTTGATGAATTACAAAGCCTTTCAGAGGTGGTACCTTTTTCTCCGGGCTATTTCTTGCAACCATCCGGACCTTCAACAATGCCATTGCCTTTACGTCCTTTGGTACCAGCTCAAAGAACCGTGACATGCGTTGACCGTCTGCCAGAGGGAGGCAAAAAGAAAAAAAGATATTGCAAGTGCGATAGAAGACTTTGGAAGTATGGAGATATGGCACGTACGTTGCAAGGGCGACGGTCGAATAGGGGAAGACCCAAGAAATAACAGCTCGAGAAGAAGGCGGGTTTGAGCAAGAGAGGGAAACCGACAGGGACAGGATTTGGCCCGCCAAGGCAACGAGTCGATTTGTCAAACAAGGTCTGAGTGAGGCGGACGAGAAGGTTGTACAACACTTACATGGTAAGATGGTATTGCATTTAAAGGAAAGAAAGGAGACTGCTGCATAATATCTTTGACCCGAGATCTCGACTCATCTCACCTGACAGGTCGCGTTGGGGATGCGGGGGGCTGGCTCGGTGCTCGCCACTTCATGGCATTCATACGACCCAAGTTGTGTAACTATAGGCATTCGGGCTCCCAGGGGTCCGTCTCACACTTCCTTCCCGTGGCCGTGGCTTGGATCAGTCAGGCCTGGCGCGCCGTCACGAGTTGTGGAAATACGACGTCAAAAAATAAGGAAGGGAGGGCAAAACGAAAAAAAAAAGTGAAGGCAAAAAAAAAAATCAAATAGAAAAGCGAGAGAGAAATGAGGAACTGACAATCACAAATAAACTTTGCAATATTCAACCACCACCACTTTTTTGTCAATTCACACCTGCCCCACACCTCCGCGAGCGAAGCCGCGGGTACTATTCTAGTTGTGATACATATCCATTGCAATTGCTATGACTGTATAGCTGGTATTTATTTCAAGTACATTATATCCAGCTTTGTATGTTGCTTTGTGGATAGCTCTATCATGGACTTGTATAAAATTCTCACCATTCATGTTTTCTAGATGAATATTAACAATTGGTGGTGCACCTTTGCGGATTCTTCTCTCAGGCCATTGGATCTTTACATTATCCACCTCCACTATACCCATATCCTCGAATTGTAAAACGTCATCATCGTAAATGTATGGGTACATGCCTTTATGTGCTCCTGCAACAAGTGTTATTGCTGTACATTCGTCAGGCCGTTTGTACTTGGTAACTGTAATATCCTTAATGCTATTCTCATCCATCTCAACCTCCAAAAAGTATATTGGTCTATCGTTGAAGCTATAGTTGGCTAACAACGTCATTGCTTCCTCTTTCTCGACATTGTTACGATATGAACCATACTTCTTACCTGTAACAGAGTTCCACCAATGGCAATATGCGAATGCCGATTTTTCACCCCTTGTTACATGAATACCTACCATGGATGATATATTACCAACTATATACTTCCAATATGCCTTGTGTTTTACGCAGAAGGTGGGACATTCTTGGATCTCTTCCTTTGTGGCATCCAAGACTCCTTTATAATAGGAGAATGTATATATCTCCTGTCCATAAAAGGTAAGTTCAAGTCTTGTTAGACCTGTTTTCTTCGCCTTTCGAAGTCTCTTATGTAGGTCCTTATCCACATCCATAACAAAATTTTCCATTCTTGAACCCAACGACATTTTTACTTCAGCACTCTCCAACATCTGTACAAGTTTGTTATAA